AATCGCATTACAATGAAAACCACATAGCAAACACAATCTAGACGGGACTATCACTAAACCAAATGACCAAACATCCTCACGAAAAAACATAACCAGCTGAGAAAATATCAAAGATTTCGAGAAATTTACGTCACATTTTCCAACAAAAGTGACTTACAATTCATAGGATCACCCCTGGGTGGTCTCAGTGGTGATTGAGGAACAAAAGAAGTTCTCAGCCTGGGAAATCTCACCATCCTTGTGTTATCCTACAAGAGAAGTTAAATTGGCATAAGACCAAGCACATGCTGCAAAAGATACTTGGTCAACAAGAATTTGAAAACAAAAAGGGTTAGGATGCGTACATTTATATCATCATTTGCGCGTAATCCACCACCACCCACCACCACACACGACTCGGATTTAACGCAAATATAACCATAATGCATATGGTGATTACGATCATAAATAAACAGAATACCTCTGTATATGTGTTCAACCGGACCTTTTTGCCCCTGTCGAGGCAAAATTATAAAAGATCTCATTAATCGTATATCCACAAGTATATCCACAAAACAGAAGAACATTGTCTTTCTCATTAACTGCATCTGAATTGAAGTTCTAAAAGACAAGCACTAGGTCGAGGAGTTCCAGAATCTCACCTTGCATGGACCTTCAAGAATTTAACAGAATCTTTCACAGATAATGTGTTCATGTAACAGTCTTCCGCAAAACATTGCTTGTAAATCTTGCTCTTAATCTCCCTTAACCTCACAACGGCAACATCCGGTCTCCTAGGAACACCTTTAAGGATCTGAGCAGCCCACAAAAGCAAGATCAGAATAAGAAAGCCAATCATCTGGATATAATTCTAACTTATACCACTGACCTGAAAAGCTTCACCCTCCACACTTATAATCATGCCAAAACTATTATCACTGCACATGAAAAAATTCTAGATAAACAAATCAGAGTGAAAAAATTGATGGGAAAAAGGAAATTGCACAAAAGAAGACTACGCTTGAGGAAAGGAAATGAAGGAACTCACTCAAGCAGCACAAGGTCATGAAGCTCATAATTACTATGGTGAGTAACACCAATTGATGCTTCAGAGCTCTCCACAACATCAACGGCAGATACACAGTACTAATGTAAAGCAAATATAGTAACAAAATCAACACTTATTAGGATAAACAATAATTTTTTAAGTTAAAAGATGAATAACGTACAACTTCCTTGGTGATATCCGATGCTATGTTCACCGCATGACCCTCAAAAGAGACCACCAAACCTGTTACGCCTTTGGTAGCACCAGACACAACCGTTACGTGATCTCCACGTTCGAAGTGCTTGCAGAGCTCATTGTCACGGATAGCAAGAGATTTCTAGAAATAAACATGCGAAAAAATTAGTTTTAAAGGTAAACATAAAGCAGAAGTTCAAGCTAACCAGTACTTACAGAAAACCCCTTTCCACACGGTTTAATATGAACGATATCTTCCTCAATTTTTTCCACCTTCCTCGCAAATTTTTAAGATCTCCCTTGACAACAACTACGCTGTCACCCTTTATGAAGTGACATCTCTTTCTGTTTGCAGAGTGGACCGACCAATTTGACATGTCCCCATCCCCAACCTCACTGGGCCACCCAAACTTCTCAAGTTCATCAAAAGTCGGTTCAACATCCTGAGTGCTGAGCGCCTTCAGTGACAATTTTTTATACAAGAAACCATCCTTGAATATCATCCCGTCAATCTTGTCAAAATAATCACCAGTAGCTTGATCTCGTTTACGCCCAACATGAATATTCAGCAATCTGGGTATAAAATAAAACAATAGTAAACAATAAGGCCCAATGATAGATGAGATAATGAAAAAGAAAAAAGAAAACATTGAAGTGCACCTAGCTTCATCAATATTCATAAATCGTGCAGGTGAGTTAAATGTGTTTCTTTTTGGAACTTTCCTTCCTTCCTGAAAAACTGCATGTCAGATTATTGGTACTATATGCTTACAAAAAATAATATGTGAGACAATGGAATGTCATTGCCAGTTTCATGACAGAGGATAAGTTTTACTTAATCTGCTATAAATGAGATTCAGTACATAATTTAAAGATACATATATACACAACTAAGAATGTAAACAAAAATAACAAAGACGGACCAATTTGTTAGCCAGGGCCGGCAAGTCAATCCTCGGTATTAATTTAACAGTTGCTCTCTGCCTCACAGTGTCAACATCAACAACCTAGCATTTATGAACAGAGAAGTTTCCAAAAGTGAAGTACTAGACAAAGAAAAGATAGAAAGAAAAGAGGAAATGAAAAATCATCTTGAAATTCATACCTTTGCAAGATCGCCTTTATATAATCCACTCCTCACTCTAACCCACATATCCATAGAAATGTCAATTGATTTTCTTTGTGTGGATAATGAGAAAACATCTGCCATTTCATTGATTGGGACAAGGCCTATCTTCTGTGGATATATATTGTGCATACCCTTAACAGCCTGTAGAACAAAAAACCCAGAGATTTCACATAGACGTCCAAGTCAATATAACAACGCAGCATGGATTGTATACATTATAGATACAATTTCAAAAAAAGCTGAAATGAAAGAATCCATTGATACACACCTCCCTCACATGCGCCTCTTTGTACGCGTCTATGTATATATAGCCTTTAAGGTGATCAAGTGCTATTGCTGATGTAATTTTTAGTTCAGGGCCTTTACTAGTTATTTTTTGCAAAAGGCAGGCAGCCAGCTCCTTCTCCCGGCCAATCTATGCAACGCAACAACAGAAGATGAAATACATTAGAGGAACAGTGAATAACATTTCAATTTTTCTCTTCAACTCCAATAAAGTGAAAAAATAAATAAATAAAAAGTATGGCATCATCTTACCGCACATTTGACCGTCCATAATTTGGGGTCCCAAATAGAGGAAAGCTGAGCTGGGTGTTCTAGTGCTGTAGCCTCCCCGTCATAATCAAAACTGCTTTTTGAATATCTCTCATGAACCATTCTCTCGATTTCCTCGACATCCTCTTCTTCATCATGATCGCGTGCAAGGAGCGGAGCACGATGATGAGTTCTTCCATCATCATCGTTATCGTGCATATCATCCGCAGCATCAATGAAATCTATGTACACAGACCCAGATAATCAAAAGACGTACTTTTTTCTTTGGTGGAGTCCAAATAAGTTTATCAACTAATGGAGTATATAGATAGCTCAAACGGCAAAGACAAAAACATAATACATGCACCTGATGCATAGTAAAACCAATGTATTCAAGGGAAAGGTATTCAAGTTTAGAAACAAAAACCTTCCTTGGACGACACATCATCCCCTGAAATCAGAGCAATCTAGGAATACTTATACTAAGGAATTTAGGAATACTTATACTAAGGCAAAGAATTGATGAGCGCCATCAATTTGCTTCTCATGCACAATTGAGGCACAAAATCCAAACAATTAAACATTTAAAGTTTTAGACCCCTTCCCTGACCTCCCAAAACCACACACACACACACACGCACACCAAACAGGTAGCAGAATACGAACCTTCCTCGCCGTCCTCCTCCTCCTCCTCGCTGTCCACATAAGCCTCCTCTTCAAAGAAATCCGACACCGATTTCATAGCCCTCTTCCCTCGGCGGCGGCGGCCGCCACTCCCACCTCCGCAACCCTCCTCTTCGCCGTCTCTCTTGCGCTTCGCCCTCCCGCAGCCGGCTCCACGGTCAACGGCGGTTTCTTCCTCGTATTCAGACTCGGACTCATCCATCGCTCTCGGCATTGCCACTCGCTACGAATATCCTCCACGAGCTCTGGGGGAGATGATTTGAACTGTGAGAACAAAATTGTTCCGCAAAAAACAAAAAACCCGCGCTGGAGGAAAAGTGAAAAGTTCGACGTGTATTTATAGGCACGGGGAACGAGGTTAAATGTGGAATTTGCTATTTGTTTCCTTCCAACTGTAGGACTTATTATTTAATTATTATATAAAAATAATTCCGCCGTATCAGATCCTATCTACGTAAGGGGATTGTGTTCGTATCTATTTAGGAATCATTCCGTTTTTATTGATTATTCAATACTATTACTTACATTTACAGGCCCATTTATTTATCAATTATTTTTTAACACATTAACGAAATCAATGTTTAAAAAGTTCAACTGTTATTCACCGTCCCTCATTTACTTTTTTGCTCTTAACCTTTTTTCAGAGTCTATCTCTCCAAACTTTCTATCTCTTTAAATTTTCGAACTTCAACAAATGATTCGAGCACCAAAAAAAATCCAAAAAAATGTCGAAAAAATTCTACGGCCTCGGCAAATGACTCTTCTCCAACAAGGTCAATTTTTTTTTATGCCGAAACTATTTTTAAATATTTTTTTTATTCTGCTCGGCCGTCCGGCCGTCGCTTCCGGATGGCCGCCGTCCGTCCGGTGGTCGGTTCCGAACGGACGAAAAACCGTCCGGTCGGCCGAACCGGACGGTCCTAACATTGTCCGGTACCGGACGGCTGAAAAACCGTCCGGAACCGCCGGCCGGACAGTTTTTTTTTTTTTTTATAATAATTATAATAATAATAAATAATTATTATTATTATAATAATAATCATATATTATAAAAATAATAAGTTAATAAATTGTAATTAATTATAAATTCTAATTAAAATAATAATAATAATAATAATAATTACAAATTAGAAATAATTATAATAACAATTATAAATTATAATAATAATTATATATTATAATAATAATAAGTTGAATAAATTGTAATTAATTATAAATTCTAAAAATAATATTAATAATTATAAATTATAAATGCTTATAATAATAATATTACAAGAAATAATAATAATAATTTGTAAAGTAATTATAATTAAATATAATAATAATTATAAATTAGTATTAATTATAATAATTTAACTAAAAAATTATAATAATTATTATAAATCTCAAATAAAATTTATATATGAAAACAAAAATGAATAATATCTATTTTAATAGTTATTAGAATAGTCATTACATATGGAAATATTTAATAATTATATTTCTGATTCAGGGTGTTGGCAGACCTGGACAATCTAATGCCAGGGACGACGACGAGGCGTTCGATGACGATTATGATGGTTCTGGCACCCGACACACTAGAAGTCGGGTGTCAATGCGTCCGTTCGTCGGGAGAAGGACATAGAAAGGCAGGCGATGATCGATGAGGCTCGGAGGGTACAGCTTCGTCAGGCTAGCCAGAGTTCCCGACCCCCCCGCACCAGTGCCAACTGGTCCGCAGGGATATCATTTTGAGGGTCAGCCAGATAGTTCGCGACCCCACGGAGTCCTCCCGTACGGTGAACATGGATTTTATTATCCTGGCCAGGCGGGCAGTTCAATGCCCCCAGCACCAGGACCGTACGATCAGCAGGGATGTGCTTTTCCCCGCTACGCAGAGAAGTCGATACCCCCCGCGCACGCGTACCATTACCTTATGGTCAGCAGGGGTATGCTGATGATGAGTCGTACGGCGAGAGGGAGCAAGGTCCAGAGGAGTATGACTCGGACGACTCCTCAGATGATCAGGACCACGCACAGCCTACGGGTCCTAGGCACCCTCGTCCTCCTGTACAGCCTGTTTGTCTGGTACAGCCGGTTCTACAGCGTGTTCGTCCGGTACAGGCTGTTCGTCCTACACATGCTGCTCCTCAACGACAAGCTGGGGGGGCGTTTTGGCCCATCTTTATCTTCATCAAGTAAATAATTTACTTATTTATTGTTGTTTAACATAAATTATTTTCACTTAACCATAACAAATTATCGGTACTTTAGAAAAACATTATCGGCCTGCTTCTCAACTACGATATAATTATTTTGTAATTTAGAGGAACCATACAATTAATTAGTTAGAAAATTATTATAATTATTTTTATTATTGTTATAATCAATTAGTAGTAATGCATCTGCCCGCAAGTCAATATATACAAATATATTGTATTTTAATGCAGGTACTAGCAAACGAGCTATGACCGATGATGGTGCACCCTGGATCGTTAAAGGCCCAGTGCCCGGTGGTCCCATTGATGGGAGTGTCATCCCTAGGTTTCTAGGGCACGTCGCCTCCCGCATGTGGAGTGGGAATTTGAGGGGGCCGCTGAAATTCCACAACAGACTGAGAGCGATCGAGAATCTAAAGGCTTGGCGTGAAGAGATGTCTTCCGATGCGAGAGCTCTTCTCGACAAGACCGGGCTGGTCGACTCCATGCACACCCACTTGGACAACCCACTCCTTTCTGCTTTTGTGGAGCGATGGCAGCCGGATACTAACTCGTTTCACCTGCCTTTTGGTGAAATGAGCATCATGCTGCATGACGTCCGGGCCATTTTGGGCGTTCCAGTGGAGGGAGTCGTGGTCGCTGAGGACCCGGATTCGGACGTCTGCCATGGGCTCTGCATGTCGATACTTTCGGTCACCAAGGGCGAACTCATGAGTTCGTTCTGGCAGCGTGGTTCGGTGTCCGAAGCCGCCATTTCGGGAGCATTCAGGGGGAAACGTCAGCCGGCTAGGGATGAGGCGGGTGCCTGAATGTGGGTGATGCTGGCTACCACTTTGTTCGTCGACAAGAGTGGTAGTAAAATGACCCCTAAGCTATTGCACGAGGTGCTCGACGGCTGGGATTTGATTGGGGGTTACTCATGGGGATCGGCTACGCTGACATACATGTACAGACAGCTAGGCATTGCCAGCCGAGGGGACTCTGCCCAGGTGTCGGGCTGCTTGACTCTTCTGCAGTCTTTGATATATGAGTATTTCCCCAATTTTCGACCCCGGGGGCGTCGACCCATCGGTCCTGACTGTCTAGCACGATCACGCTCGTGGAGCGTAGGGAATGCGCCACGGTCAGACGATCGGCTCACAGCCATCCGTCGGCGCCTCGACAGACTCACTGCCTCCGATGTACGTGAAGTTATTTTATTTAAATTTAGTTACCCGTTATTTAAAATAATATAATTATTTTTATAAATGCTCTTATGCAATTGTGAACAGGTGCAATGGTTGCCATACGGCAGCTCCAGCCCAGATGCGATAGAGCCGAGGACTCTATATAGCGGATTGATTCGATACCGCGATGTCGTCGAGTCGTACTTGCCTGCGCGGTGTTTGCGTCAGTTGGGGTATGTCCAGACTGTCCCTCTCCCTACATACCCGCCAATCAGTGCAGTACGTGCTTTGGAGTCTAGGAACTACAAGGTTGAGCATTCTGAGGCTGCTGCAGTAGGTGCCTGGACCCAGTTCCCAATTTTTGGGACGGTCAACACCGGTATGTTGACCCCCACCACACAGGATCGCGGGGAGGCGACTGAGGATTACCTGCAGTGGTACAGTCGGGTTTTCCATTCGAATATTTTTTCGGATATTATAAAGATACATCAAATATTTAAAAAAATCAAATCACATGAAATAAAACCCTGTTGCAAAATGGTCCTAAAGTATATTTAAAAATTTTAATATTATATGCATAAATAAAACTTATAATACTCTATGTTTAATATTTAATATCATTATCTAACTTATAATTTTAATATTATATGCATATAAATAACTTATAATATTCTATTTACATATGTGCAAATGCAGTGGATGGAATACTATTTAAATAAATTATGACAATAAGCATATGAAAATTTATTATGTAATAAAAAGTTTATGACGTAATTATATATATAATTGTTGGCAAGCTTCAATAAATTTTATTCGGCCACCAATTAATAATAATAGTAATTCATTTAATAAAAATAGGTGTTCATTTAATAAAAATATGTTCACCATTTAATAAAAATATGTAACTTTCAGTTACACAATTTATTTTGACATGTCACATTTTGGATATGGTACTCATCTCTGTATGCCTTTTTATGTACTGAAATACAAAATATTTTTGTTTTTATTTGATACTATATATTTTTGGTATCATATAAATACATATATTTCACAACTAATTAAGAATGACTACAAATAACTCTTTTTTCTATTGCAGTCATACAATAATAAAAAAATATTTTTTCGGATATTATAAAGATACATCATATATTTTGAAAAATCAAATCACATGAAATAAAACCCTGTTTGCAAAATGGTTATGCAGTATATTTAAAAATTTTAATATTAAATGCATATAATTTATAATACTCTATGTTTAATATTTAATATCATTATCTAACTTATAATTTTAATATTATATGCATATAAATAACTTATAATATTCTATTTATATATGTGCAAATGCACTGGATGGAATACTATTTAAATAAATTATGACAATAAGCATATGAAAAGTTATTATGTAATAAAAAGTTTATGACGTAAAAATATTTACTTGGTTTCAATTATTTTATTACAGGTTGTCACATAAATGTAAAAAATAAATTCAAATTAATAACTTATTTACGAAATCAAATGTAACAGGTTTAGTATAATATTTTAAAAATCATATACAAATTATCGATTTTTATTTGAATTTTATTATTATTATTATTATTTTCTATTTGTAATTGACTTGATGACCAAGCGTCGTTAGACCGTTGACTCAGAGACCAGCTCGAGTCACTGCCCTGACGACCAAGCACCGTCGGCTAGACCGTTGACTCGGAGACCAGCCCAGTCATTGCCTATCTGAACACATTGTTTTCATGTGTACGAATATTTAATATATAATTAATCTATCTATATATAAAAAGATTGTTGGTTAAATCTTTTTTGGAAACTTTTGACCAAATAAATAATACCTTTGA